AGGTGAACTGAACTTCAGGTAAGAAGTCATGACCTGCAGTCTATCTGGGTCAGATATAAACCAAGTTTAGTTGGAGTTTATTTTCGTTATGCTGACTTTTTCGTACTGGGTACCAGTAGTGGTTTTTGATATGGGCAACACGGGCGGTTGCCCGGGGCGGCATCACAGGCATCGGCACAAAAAAAAATATTCGTACTCATGCTGCCCCAACGTCATGCCAGCGCATATTGGAAATAGCATAGGCACGGATCGGTTTTCTATCGCCCATTTGCTGGAAGTAAGGGTGCCCTCCGTTTGCGAGGTGCGCCTGCTGATTGAGGTACAGGGAGAAGAGGGCGGGGCGCGGGGGATTCACTGGCTGGCTGGAGCAGCATCTAATAACCAACTCACAAAATAAAACAAAATACAACCAATGTTCCCTCTAATTTTTCACGTGTCTGAGTGAACACAAACTCCCTGAGCGATCTCTTTGACCACTGTGAGCGACATCAGACGTGTGCACTGTGGTCACGCTGGCATCTTATCTATCCAAGTTACATGGTTTATTAAAATAATCAAATTACAGCGTTTACATTTATGTTAGACTACTTTTAATTAACTGATTTAGCCCACTTACAATAAAAATTAATAAATAAATCTTGTTCATGAGCTGTGTAGTATGTTAACACAAGTAAAAAATAACTTGAAAACACAACTTACTTTTTTTATTTTTTATTTTTATAAAGCTCTGACTTGTATTATGAGTCTGTGGTCTGGGAGAGAGTCCTGTAACTCTCTGTCTGCAAAATATAGTATATAACGACCAGTGTTGGGCAATTAATTATATAGTTACTTCTTCAAAAAAGTAACTCAGTTTGGCAAACAACAAAGTTTTTTGCAGCTATTTTTTTTAAACGCAGCCAATTCGTTTTTAAATAAACATTTTTAAACTATTTACAGAACAATCAGCTGTTCTGCATCAAATTTGATGCCACACAAATTATTTGTGCCACTCCAAAAAATAATTTCTGTCCACTATGAGATAAAGGAGAACAACAGCCTGATACCTGCAGGCCTGACAACAGGAGATGTATCACTCCTGTAACACCTGTAACATTCAGCAGTCGCCTCATTGTTCTGACACACACAACAAAACTACACTACACACTAACTACACAAGATTTGCGCTAAACGTCTCAAATCTCTCACATCTCAAAACACCGCCGTCACTCCTAAAACTTCCCCCCGTTTCTTAACAACTAGATGCCACGTTGCCATATCATTTTTTGATTGGTCGACATGGTACTTTTTTGGACCAATAGGAAAGGGAGAGGGGGTGGGTTTGTTTTTGCTCACAGGCTTTCGAGCCTTTTTTCTTATAAAACGCCATTTTTACCGTTTCTTCCCGCAGTAAATATAAACAACGACAGTATTCAGGAAGAAAACCAAACATTGCATATATTTTTTATCACAACTCTGGTTTTACGTGGCCTATCAACACAATTTAAAAACTGGTATAAAGTCCACACTTTTTCCGTCAATTGTTCCGTCTGTCCTGCTCACATCTCCAATGGTTGTACACGTTGTCATTAACGTGGCTTCACTCCACATCAGCCACGCCGCTTTGCTAGCTAAAACACCGGTGTCGGCACATAAGGACGCTGTAGCCTGTCAATGACGTTGATTGACTGCGTATATGCGCATCGGCTGAACTATGGGATAAGGTGGCATCGTTCTAATCTCATATGGGAGCAGCCAGTCACTTACTGACTAACACTGCAAAACATGATTGTTGAAGTATTAATTTTAATTTCAATTCAGGTTAGGTTTTTTTTTTGTGCGCACGCAGATTTTCTGTGCGCAGAGACCGTGCCAACAGTGCGTGCGCAGCTTAGAGGGAACATTGAATACAACCAACAAGCACGAAAACACCAGACATTATGATACAGACTTATAATTTTCATCGATGTTTTTTCGAAATTCTATACGCGAAAAGTGAGCACGAGAGCCCTCGGTGCACATGCTCGCTGCTGAAGTCAAAGTAAACTTTATTGTCATCTCCGCTACAGTCCAGTATATAGAGAGACGAGACGACGAGGCTCCAGTTACAGCAGTGCAAGTAAACAAACAATACACATAGGAAGAGTAAGAAAATAAATATACACTTTAAGACTGGGGTAAAGGGATCAATAACAATTTGAAATTTAAAATTTACAGTTTGATGATTTAAAGTCTCACACACAATCTGTAGGAAAGGGGAGGGGCCAGCTGCTTCAAATAAGAGCACATTTCATTCATAATGTTGTAAATCCAAGCCCATTATGTATTCATGTTTTGAATCCTGGGTTGTGCGAAATCCCAGAAATACACCTTAAACACAGTGAATCTGTGAACTAAGGTGTAGGTCTATTAGGTTATGTTGTGGTAATCCTCAGGTTGGGGGATGGGTGTTCATACTGGAGTGCAAAATAAAAACCAATGGAAGATAGACAAGAAAAGTTCAAAACCATCAGGTGCTCAGCTTAGAAAAAATAGAAAAGAAGAGGAGGAGAAACGAGCAAAAGATACGGAAAAGCAGATGTGTCATTGGATAATGGCAGGTCATGTATCCTGAAACAATCAGAGTCAGAATACTTTATTAATCCCTAAGGAAATTATGTGGGTTACAGTTGCTCCAAAAAGAAATGGAAAAAATAGTAACAGTAACAGACTAAACTCCAAACGATACATCATGTTACAGATTTTAATATTAATTAGTCATTTTCAAAT